TTTGGGAGAATTTGAGAGGATTATTTGTTTCAGATTGATTGTGTGAATCTAATAATTTCATCGGCTCTCAATTTATTTCTGAAATATTAATTCAATTTAATTGAATGTATATTAGATAGTAGTTCAACATCTTAACACTCGGACCGGGAAGGCGCTTTGTATTTAAAGTTTTAATATTTACATCTAATATTCTGCGATTTATACTGTTTCCATGTTTCTTCATCTATTATATTACACGACGTTCCTGAATCTACCAGCAAATTTAAATTGATCCCTCCTACCTTGGCATTAATATATTTACTATCCACGGCGTTTATTCCCTTTCTTCTTAAGCCAAACGCATGTTCATTTTCTTCTTCTTCCGTCCTGTCGAGTTTTTGGACTCTTTTCTTCTGTCCTCTTCTCCCATCGCTGTTGGTTGTCTCCACCTTTATCTTGCAAACTCTTGCGAAATGTTCAGATTTTTCATATTTATTTATTGCAGATTCTTTCTCTCGCCGGGCACTTCTCGTCTGTATCTGTGTCCCTTATATCCGCACCAAAAACATTCAACGCTGTCCTCAGTCTTTGTTGTCTCTTTTTTCACGTGTTTTTTTTTGTTGGTTGTGCAAGCCACTGTTTCTTCTTCTATATCTTTGGTTTGTAGCGAGACTACTTCCATTGTCTTCGCAATTTCTAATATTTCGTCCAATTTAATGTTACATTTTTCTAACAGATGTCTGTAGTTTTGTTGAATAATATTTCTCTATCACCTGATATTTCTCTATTCATCTGACTGTCGATTTCTGTATCCACGTCTCGAAATTACAGTTCTTCGCTTGTTGCCGTAATCTGGTAATGCAACGTATTGCATCATCGTTTCTTTGGTACCCTGAGACAGATTTCGGAAAATATGTCCCTCGTATGTCGTATTTGTTTTTGGCTTGAAATATGTTTCTAATACATGCACCGCTCTGGTGTATGGTGTTTCTACTTCCGTGACTACTTCTGCGGTATCGAGTAGAATATATCTTTCAGATCGAATCCCCATATATGTTATTGCATGTAGTGCAATAACATTGCTTTTTTTCTCTAATCGTCTTCTATTTTTTTGCTTGCCAAAAACAGCTTAAAAGTCCTAGCCATCTTGTCCACTTCGGATAGATGTTTTCAGTTTCGGCATTTCTTTTTGCTTAATCCTCGTCGCCAAATGTAGTATACTTGTGTAGACACTTTATTAGTATTACAATAGATATTTGGTTGGTTACAATAGACTGATACTGTATCAGGCTGCTCTTCGCCCTGATGAAGTGGACTGCAAGATTCATGAAACGTTGGCATTTCAAGAATGGATCTGGATACGGAAAAAACCCGCGAAACGCATAACTTTTACATAGAAAGCACCCGTTGAAGCTTGAAGAATGTCCACTTACATATTTTCATGATTATTTAAAAAATTCCAAACAGTTTATTTTTAGGTGGATTCCTTTCACGTGAAATTCCTCATATGTGGCATGCGTGAGCGAGATATAGTAGTGTGTCAATGATACATAAATCCTTTGTGTAAATGCTATTTACAATATGACGAGAGGGTTCTAGATGCGCACAAAAATAATCAGACACAGCAGGTTGTCCTAATTGGACACAGATAGAAGGGAACATATGATA